ACACATCTTTATATCTCCACAACCTCTGGAAGAAGCCTGACACTGAGTAAATTCCATGAATGTTTGCATGAGAGATGGTCTCAATGAACAACCTTTCATAGACACCAGTAAACTTTTAAGCATTTTTCCTGGTATCCTGATCACTACTAATATTCTAGACTATGTTTCCCTTTTGCTCCCCAATTTCTGCCTTAGTACCCTTTTCTTTCTGTGTCATCATATCTGCACTCCCCTGTCCCACCCCTTTGCTGGCCACGACCCCACATGCCCTCATACTGCCTTTGTCTGAATTAGATCTCACATACTCCTGCAGAACTGAGACACAAAAATCCCTTTTTTACCCCCTCCTTTTTCTGTTCTGAATGTGAACACAGTAAGGTGTGCCTGAAGCTAAGCCCAGGCCAGGAAATGGATGCCCAGTCCAGGGCTGGAGTGGTAAGGAATATTATCTTCCTAATACATAATGGGTGCTCAAGCAGTAATTCTGGAATGAGTGGACACTCAGGACAGGAAGTCCCCTGATGCAAAGGGACACTTTTGGCCCCCTCCAACCCCATCCCAGCCTGTCTCCCTGAGCATCAATCTCTGATTCTAGGAGCCACCATCATACCTGGCCCTGGGGATGTGCCCCAAGAGTGGGTAGGATCGGAATCCTTTCTACTTGTTTTCACAGCATAGCTGAAACTGGCTGGAACTTTCAAAGGAATTACACCAGTGTTAAAAAGAATGCAGCCAAGGCTGCATGGGTTTAAATCTCAACTCTACCATTTACTAGCCAGGTGGCTAGAGCAAGTTCCTTAACCTCTCTGAGACTCCATTTCTCCGTCTGTAACATGAGGGCAACAATTCCCCCTTGTGAGTAACGTTAGTAGCACTAGTCCTTCAGCTGTTGCTCGCTCACCATCTTCGTCAGTCCCTGCAGTGCTCTTCCTTGGTTCTGAAGTGAACCTCCAGCTCCACGGAGGCTACTCATTTCAGGTCTTTGACTGGCTCTCCTACCTACAGACCTTATTCTGCTCAGAGCTGACAGAAGCCTCCTCTCAGGATGCCCCCGTAAATACTTAGGTTCTTTCCTCTTCCATTCCCCTTCTTGCTCGCTCCCTCCAAAAACAAGAGTTTCTGCTTCTCAGGCCCTCTGGAGAAAGCAGTGACTCGTGGTTGTGGTTGAGCGCTCATTCCTGAGGGGGTGGTGACATTTCTGTTCTTCTTCAGAGCCAACAACATTGAAGAAATTGACTTTTTGACCCAACCCACTGTCCTCATACTTACACCATGGCTGGTATTGAAAGAAATTCTTTACATGGTGCCTTTATAGTTTATTATAAAAAAGGATCGTATCAATCTCAAGTATTTATCACTATATTTGAATAGGACCTCTGACAAACTGAGTGGTGTCCAGTTTGTCCAGGATGGCCTACACTCCCCAGATTAATGCTAGTGAGGCCTAGGACTGTCGTGGCTTAGCTGTGACTGTGAGAAGGGATGGGATCATTGCCCCCAGATCTTGAAGGGCTTCGGCAGAAGTGTGTTGGGCTCGCTTTGGGTAGTTTCAGAGAACACTAGTATTGATGATAGGCAGTTAAGGAGAGGCAGCGTCTCACTCAGGGGAAGAGAGAGTTTCCAAACAGAGAAGTCAAAAACGGTATTGACTTCCTCAGGTTACCCAGGGCTCCTCCCCACTGCGTGAATTACAAGGACCATTTGTCCGAGATTTCCCGGGGCCATAGTGATTTCATCTGATTATTTGAATTAAAGGTTATTTGTTAAATTTATAGCAACATATAATTTGATTTTGTGTTCCTGCCCTATACATCATTCCAGGGGGAATAAACAAAACAAAACTGTGGTCAGGTCAAGCATACTGATTTTTAGTTTGCAAACAATGGGAAATTCCTATATTAAGTGGGAATTCAGATTCAAAGGTCTCCTAGTCCTCAGATGCTATGACAAATAGGATGTTAGTGGTGCTTTTGCATGAGGAAGTGCACAGGAATCAGAGAACTCTCTTTCCAGGCTTTACCACTGAGGGGTGTCAACTTTGGACCAACAGATAATTCCCAAGCTCTAAAACCAATTGAAATCACTGGAAGAGAAGGAGAGAGCAGCTGAGAGTCAGCATGAGGTTCATATGTTGAACACCTACCATATGCTTCAAGCAATTGAATATATTTGCAACTTACTGTCATAAAGCACTAATTCTCAAATTAGTTACTAATTAGCACTAATTTTTAAATAAAAATTATATTTAAATTTTAAAAATATAATTAATTATTAATTAGTACTAATTTTTAAAATAGTTTTAAAATATAAATCAGCACTAATTTTTTAAACATAATTTTTAAATGTAATTCTTTAAATATAAAATACATAACTGTTTTAAGTAAAGGCAAGAGAAATATATAGACAGTACCTGGAACAGGGAATATTATTTTTATATGTTTAAAAAGATGTTCATACTCATAATAAAAGAAATTTATTTTAAAATTACAGTGAGAACCACCTCACAACCATTGGGATGGATATTATAGGAAAAAGCCCCACAGAAAAAGCAAATGTTGGTAGATGTAGAGAAATTGAACTCTTATGCACTGTTAATGGGATATACAATGGTGCAGCTACTATGGAAAACAGTATGGCAGTTCTTCAAAATATGATTTAAAAATAAAGTTTAAAAATAAAATTACCATATGATACAGTAATTTTACTTCTGAGCATATAGTCAGAATAAATGAAAGCAGGGTAGAGATACTATATACCACATTCATAGCATTATTCACAACAGCCAAGGATGAACCTTGAATACATGATGCTAAATGAAATAATAAGCCAACTGCAAAAAGACAAATACTGTATGATTCCACTTATATGAAGTACCTAAAGTAGTTAAATTCATGGATACAGAAGGTGGAGTGGTAGTTTCCAGGAGCTGGTGGGAGGGGAGACTGGCACTTACTGTTTAATAGGTATAAAGTTTAAGGAATACAAGATGGAAAGAGTTGTGGAGATGGATGGTGGTGATGGTTGCACAACAATGTGAATGTATTTAATACCCCTGTACTCTTTTTAAGATGAGTAAGATGGTAAATTTTATATGTATTTTATCACAAAAAATGATTTTAAAAAATTACAATGAGATGTCATTTAACCTTCCCTATTAGTAGAGATCACAAATTAGAAAACTTGTGTTGACAACAGCTATGTGAAAATAATTATGCTGATGTTCTGCTGATGGGAGCAGAAATATGTAATCTTGGGGGAGAACAATTTTTCAATATCTATGAAGATTAAAGTTGCAATAACTCTTTGGCCCTTTGGTCAAGCTATTCTACTTCTGGGAAGATAGCTTACTTTCACGTTTGTGATTTGGTATATAGTAAAGGTTTTTCACTGCAGCTCAAGATTAGAAATACCTAAATGTCAATTGATAAGGGTTAGTAAAATAAATTATTGCCATCTAATAGAATGCAACAGAATAATATGCAAATGTTGGAATGAGGATAATTGGCAAGCGCAGATATGGAACAAAATCTCCTTGGTAGTACTAAGTGTGTAAAGCTCTTTATGGTAGGCTACCATTCATGTTTAAAATGAAAAAAGAATATGGGTCCACGTTTTCATTGATTTTGCCTAAAATACCTGCAAGTAGAGGCAAGAAATATGAAGAGGAAACAGTGGTCACTTCAGTAATGTTTGTGGGGTAAACTAGACAGGGATCAGGGATGGGAGAGATGCTTGCTTTCCACTAAGTATCACCCTTACCTGTTGTTGTTGTTTTTTGTTATCATTAATCTACAATTACATGAAGAACATTATATATACTAGGCTCCCCCCTTCATCAAGTCCCCCCCACAAACCCCATTACAGTCACTGTCCATCAGTGTAGTAAGATGCTGTAGAATCACTACTCATCTTCTCTGTGTTGTACAGCCCTCCCTATGCCACCACCCCCCACGTTATACATGCTAATCGTAAGGCCCCCTTTCTTTTTCCCCACCCTTATCCCTCCCTTCCCACCCATCCTCCCCAGTCCTTTTCCCTTTGGTAACTGTTAGTCCATTCTTGGGTTCTGTGAGTCTGCTGCTGTTTTGTTCCTTCAGTTTTTCTCTGCTCTTATATTCCACATATGAGTGAAATCATTCGGTACTTGTCTTTCTCTGCCTGGCTTATTTCACTGAGCATAATACCCTCTATAGCTCCATCCATGTTGTTGCAAATGGTAGGATTTGTTTTCTTCTTATGGCTGAATGATATTCCATTGTGTATATGTACCACATCTTTATCCATTCATTTACTGATGGACATTTAGGTTGCTTCCATTTCTTGGCTATTGTAAATAGTGCTGCAATAAACACAGGGGTACATCTGTCTTTTTCAAACTGGGCTGCTATGCACATTCAATTTTGAGCACCACAGGGAAACCAAAGGCAAGTTGATTTCTAAACATAAACACTCTCCATTTGCCCAGTCATACCCATTGTATTGGTCAAGGTAAGGAATGCTAGCTACTGCAATAAACCAACCCCAAAAGCTTCATTAACTTAACACAATAAAAGGTTACTTTTTGCTCATGTCACAGTCCAGTATGGATCACTGTGAGGAGGAGAGATCTGCTTTATTCATTTGTTTGGCAAACTATCTTCCTTTCATAGTGAGGCTTTGCCTTCCTCTAGGTGCCTGACTTCTCCTGCGGGTCCCCTGCACCCAGGAAGGCAGGAGGGAAAGAGAGGAGGGCTTAGCCAGGGAGCTGGATGTAATACCTGTCTTTTCTGCCTGCAGTACCATTGACTGGAACCCAGTCACATGGCCCACCTAACTGCAGGGGAGGCTGGGAAATAGGGTCTATCTGTTGAGCTAGGAGGAGGAGGAAGTGGGCTTGGTGAACACATAGTACGGTCTCTGCCACACCCACGGGCCTAAGTGAATCCCAAACTCTACTTGTCACATTTTGGTTTTTGGTTTCACTTCCTAATCAAATTTTATCTTTTCTTTTTTAATTCTAGTACCATGGGACTGAGTGGCACTCTCTGTATGATGGCCCTCCTGCTCTCTGGTAAGAACCTTTTGGCTTTGTAAAGTCCAAGAATCCTTCCACTATCTCCCGATGAGTCTGACTATAAGCTGAGGCCTGAGACTTGGTGGGTTTCACTCACTTTCTATCCAGGGTTGCACAATACCACACACAATAAAAGACTTTACTGGAGAAGAAGGAACATCATGATTGGGAACAGGTATCTCAGCTGATGGCAGGCCCCGCCTGGGAGGGAGCCCTAGGGAGCCCTACCCACCCCTACCCACCCCTCTGTGCACCCTCCTCCACCACCATCCCACACCCGGGGCACTGGATGAACAAGGTAGGACAGACTGGCTTGTCCAGAGGCACCAGGGCTGCCAAAGGAAAAGTCCCTGCTCTAACGCCCCTGAGGTTTATTCCTCTGCTCCGCACATACTCTCTTCTGGTCTTCTCTGCTCCCATTTCTGGCTTTCTCAGGCTTTTAAGAAACAGCTGAAGGGCTTCTCAAAGTCTCCTTGCATTAGGGAGCCGTGGTTTCCATGTCCCCTACCTTGCCTCTCGCCCTCCACTGCCTGCCCCATGAGCCCACCTATAGAACATGTTGCCACTGCTTACCAGGAGCCTCGGGAACCCCAGGCCTGGCATCACCCACTGCAGGGACCTTCAGCTGGCTGCTTTAGTCAGTTTACCGTGATGCCACCAAAGCTGAGCTGCAGGGCTTCTCACTTGCACAAGCCATTCTCAAGGCCCTTCTGAGACCCATGAGGGGCCCTGACACTGTGGGCATGTGTCTTACGCTCTGGTAAAATTTTCAGAAGCCACGTATTTTAACTACAGTAAGTTATGACCACTGTTCCCTTTCCACTGCAGCGTTTGTCTCCACCACACTCTCCTCCCGATGAGTGGTGGCATAGTGGCCATGGGCATTTGGGATTTGGATTCTTTTTCTCGAAAAGCCCCTCCCCCTCCAAAAAAAAAGAGATTTTAGAAGTGCCAGACCTCACAGAACTCGGATCTTCTCTGATCGCTGCTCCTCTCTGAGTTTCAATTTCTTCATCTGTAAACAAGGTTCCTGCCACATGTCCTATGACTAGGAGCCTATCGTTTCCCTGGTCCTACCCCCTCCTGCTGCTCATTGTCCCCACCCTCAGCATTGAGGGGCAGCCACCCAAGTCCTGGTGTGGGGCAGACCGGGAGGGTGAGCTGAACCTACCCCTGTCTCAGCAGCCTGGCCATGAGTTTACCTCCTCCAAATGTTCACAGCCCAGGCCCTTGGCCACTGTCCTCGTGGCTGAGGGGGACTCAGTGCTGCAGAGACTCCCTCAGAATAATGTTGGCTGGGCAGGCCATTTGTGATTGCGTTTTCTGCTAGCAGCTTGGAGCCTGCTGAGTCCGTGAATGTGAGGCCTATGGATGTGCTAACTGATCACTTCACTGACTTAGGTTAAAACAGTAGTTTCCACCTCCCAAGGCCGATGACCTGCTGCCTTAGCTTGTGGGGAGGTAGAAGGTATGTGTGAGTGAGAGCAAGACAAAAAAGGGATAAGAAAAGGCTCTGGTTTCCAGAAGCCATTTCTGTTTCACTGCTTATTTTATTTATGTGATAAATACTGAGATGTGGCACTTACCTTGTGCCAGGTACTATTCTAAGCATTTTGTAAATATTAAGTTAAATATCACAATAACTCTCTGCTTTAGGTCTTATTATGATTCCCCATTTTATAGATGTAGAAACTAAAGCCCAGAGATGTTAAGTAATTTGCCTAATACCAACATAGCTAGTAAGTGGCAGAGCTGGGATTCATGCCCAGCAGTGTAGATGCAGCATCTGTTCACTGAAACTTGACGGTAGGCGGCTTCTCCTAACTCTTGCTACTGAACTACTCATAAGTGGCAGGATTTGTTCCTTGGGGACCCGGACAGGTTGGTGGAAATTGTGCTCAGCCAAGTTCACAAGCCCCCTACCAGAACACCTGACACCTTCCCTGTGGCCAGCACAGCTGTCCCAAGGTGTGGGCCCTGGCCCCACTCATCACAATGACCAGCCCAGCATTTAGGACTTGGGAGAGAAGGAAGAAAAATGAAGATTGCTGTGGCAAGCCAGGTACTCAGATCTTCAGGGAATAAGGGGATATCTAGGAAGAAAATGAATAACAACAGCAGTAAGTGATATTGGGTGTTGTAGTCTGGTGGCTTATACTTCAAAGGAGCTGGTTTATGAACATACAATGTTTTACATTTGAAATTTACAATTTACACTATATTTGTTGAAACATATATATATGTTTCATATATATTTAATAGATCATATTCCATATAACATATAGTATATGTTATATATTTTATAAAACATACAGACATTTTATATTTAGCATATAAATAAACATAATTATGTACCTTATATTTATATATAATAGGATACATGGTAAGGATGAAATCAAAGCAAGCTAGTCTTAACAGAAATATCATCTAGGCCATGAAAACTCCTGGAAAACTATCATTGTCCTATAACAGAAACTCTCTTTAATAACTGTTAAAGAAAAAAAATTCAATGACACTTATTAGAGCACAGTAGACTTTATTCAAGGAAGACTTTATTCAAGGGGCAGGGGTGCTATTGAGATAGGCATGGGACTACTGCAAAGGGATTTTACAGTGAGGGAGAGATATGGGGCTCAACTCCAAATAGCAGGGGCAAGTGGGAATTTATAGCCAAGAAGCAGGGTTGTGGGGGGTAGTGTCAGTGGATGGAAGATCACTGAGAGGAAACATCAGGGGTAGGGGGGATTCTGGTTAAACCTAACAGGATTCTTGCTGAAGACAGGCCAGGGGGACCAGACATCACCCGGAGCCGGGGTGGGGGGTGGGGCGGATAATGAAGCATGGGGAGCCTGACCAAACATTCAAAGGTGATCAGGTAGTGAGGATGGAGGAGTCTGGTTAAACTGACTTAGCAAGGTTCTTCCTAAAACTGGATTTTACAAGGAAGTACACAGATGGGCCTAGGAGTTAGAAGCCTGCCTAAATTTTGTTCAAGCAAAGAATCTTTGTTATGATCTAAAAGATGACATCCTTAAGACCTCCAGATAAATACAAAATTCTTTTTTCTCCGATGGCTCCTTTTCTTTGTTCCATAGTGTCTCCTCACCCTTCTCTTACCATATTAGAGATCAGCTCTAACTGTTGTAGTTCTAGATCGCCTCAGCCACACCTGTGCAGACCCTCTCAGTTATTTTCTACAGATGATTCAGATGATTACTGACTGCAGCAAATGGGGGAACCATTCATTGAGATAGAGGACAGTAAAATCTGAAGGGGAGAATGAGAGCATCTATTGCTATCTAAATAGCAGTATCCATCAGGCAGTTAGATATGGGTATCCAGAACCCCACTGAAAGTTATTCGCTGGAGATAAGCACCTGTGAGTTATTAGCTTATACTTGGCAGAGAAAGAAAACCAGGGCATGGAGAGTAGGGAGAAGATCAAGAGCAAGCACTTGAGATAATCAGGATTTAAGAAGGGATCAGAGAAAATTGACCAGGAGGTCAGGGATTGGAAATGAACAGTCTCAAGAAGGAGAGATGGCCAGCAGCATGACACACAGCAGAGTGGTCAAATAAGATGAGGTCCTAAAAGAGCTCCAGATTTGGTGGGAGGTCACTGACAACCTTTGCCAGGGAAGTTCTGGCAGACAGATGGAGGACAGAGGCTGGGGATAAAGGCAGCAATTGCTACTTACTCTTTCAGGGAGTTGACTTTAAAGAAAGAGAAACTAAAAGCAGAGAGTACTGCTGAAGGAACTTGCTGTGAGGATGGTAGAGGGTAGTAAGCAGGGTGAGCAGTCTAGAGGCCAAGTTAAGTGGGGCAGGAGAGGCCAAGTGGGGCAGGAGACAACAGATTTGTAATGCCACCAGTCCAAACCACTGAATAATTTCCTCCATGAGTGCTCAAACACTGTTGTGAGAACAAGTATCTGGATCAAAGGTAGAGTGTTCTCAGGATGAATTCTGCACAAAGGGGCCAGTTTATTGAAGTCGCTGGCAAGAAAATGATTGAAAAGATACACTGTCTCTATACTATCTAATATGGTAGCCACAAGCAACATGTGGCTATTTAAATTAGTTAAAATTAAATAAGATTAAAAACTCCATTTCTCAGTCACACTAGCTGCATATCAAATGCTCAATGGCTACAGTGTCTGGTGATTACCATGTTGGCCAGCACAGACATAGTAATATTTCCATCACTACAGAGGGTTCTTCTGGAAAATACTGGACTTCAGGGGACTAGACTGGATAAAGCTGAAGTCTTGATCAAGCCAAAGAACAGATGTACGTGGAGTAATAAAGAGCAAATCTCGAAGGCACATAGCTTGTAGACAAGAGACAGGTTTAAGATTCTAGGAGTAGAGCTGTTCTTGGTGATAAGGTTCAGGGTTATATCATGGGGAAGGGGCTGCTGAGGATGCTTGTGAATGAAGATCTTTAAAGTGGAAAGGATCAAAGGACTTTGAGGCAAATTGTTGGTGAGTATATGCATGCTGAACTCACACAGACTGATTATAATAGTTGATTGGAAAGAAAGCCCTTGCATCTGACACCAAAATTCTTGGTAAGCAAGGAAGTAGTGACAAATGATTAGTAGCTAAAAGCGATGAGAGAGGGGGACACCTTAAAAGGGGAAGAAGGTTGCCCAAGGGCCCGGTGAAGTATGATAAAACAAGCAGTGAGGGGAGACAAGTGGGGTCCTTCAGGTAGGGCCAGATGTCAATAAAGCACAACTTTGGGGGAAACATTTGATGGAGAGGTTGAAGATGTAGAAGGTTTATTACAGTGGAATGAGCCATTCAGATGGCCTAGTAAAGCTTTAAAGGAAGTTTAGTAAAAAAAGTAAAATTCATGAGTACAGATAAGCATAGTAACATGAGGAAGAGATGATAATTAAATATATAAAACATACATTTAGGGTAGTGACCAGGGAAGACTCCTGGAAGGCAGGGTCAGAGACCTCAGAAGGTTAGAAGACTAGAAAAAACTATAGTTTTTGTGTGACATTCAAACAGTATATTGCTAAGGAAGTCCTCAAGTATTTGAGGACTTTGAAACAAACCCCCCGAGATGATTACAAAAGGGTCTAGATGGATTCTCGAACGCTAAATGGCTCCTGTCATCACCATAGCAACCAATTATAATGAAACCCAGACCAAAGTGCTGGACAAGGGAGAAAATCTCAATGCTTCCCCACCAGTGGAGTCCAGCAGGTCTGTAGGTGGGTGGCCTAAGATCTGGGGTCATAACAGGGGAGGCCTGAGACCACTTAGGGAAAACATACCTTAAGCTAAACCTTCACCACATTGTCAGAGAAGGGATTGGCACGTGTAGCTCCAAGTATGTCATGGAAGCCAGTGGCTGGTGAGAACTATGTAGTATAAATTGTGAAATGCTCTCAGTTCCACTCAGAATGGGCTTCAGAGTGATTTCCACCCCAGGGTGAGGAGAGAAGGTTGAGGAGGCACAGATGGAAACAACTGTTTATTATCTTCTCTGTTCCACTCAGGAGGCCTGGATCCTCTACTGCAGCTTCTCTTGTTAAAATGCAGATTCTGACTCAGTAGGCCTGGGGTGGGGCCAGAGATTCTGCATCTGTGACCAGCCAGCAAATACCCACCCACACCCTCATGACACCAATGCCTTTAAAACACAGACCACACTTTCTGTTGGTAGGTGAGGAGGGGCGCAGTTAGAAGGGTGGAAGGAAAAGCCCTTTCAGTCTTTGAGAGAGAGGGCCTGGGTCAGAGAAGTTGGACCAGTCCGTGAGTGGAGAAAGTGGGTGGGAAGGAGAGAATATACTCGGACGCTCTGGAAAGAAACAACCTTAAATCAAGAAGATAGAAGAAAACAAAGGTGAAATCACTTCCAGGCCCAGAAGGTGCACCTGACTGCTGAGTAATAGTAAAATGCCGACTGTTCATTGGCAGAATTTTCAGCTATGGGTTTGGTTTCTCCCTTAGGTCATCTGCTCTCTATCAGAGCAAATTAGTGATAAAACCAGAATGAGTTTCCCCAGAGGTAGCTGCTAGAAGCTTTTACAGTAGGTGGTACTCTCACATTATTATCCAGAGTTCAGCAAAGTTGTAGAGCAGGAGCCCCAGGATCCTTGTAAGGTAATTACTGAATACGGTGAATCTTCCTTAGGTTTCCCTTTCACTGTTCTAGGTACCCAGGTAGATCCTCCCACCTTCCTTCAGTGTGAGAATGAATGCATCCTGTACAGATGCTACATTTTATACTTGCAAGCATTTCACAGGGTAATGCAATAGGCAGCGACTCAAACTTGTGCCAGCTCCCGCTGATGCCCAGAGTCCTCTTCCCTTAGAGCTCAAGACCACCATCAACCCCCTTGAGTATGTGTTCTCACTGGCCACTCTCCACACAGTTCAATTTGGCCAAGTGCATGTCACTGTTATTTGTCTTACTCCCTCTCTTAGAAGAGAAACCCATTGATCAGATCAATTTAATTTCTTCTGCCACTATTCAAACAACACCTCAAATGAAACTCCTCTCATCTTTCTCACCAACCTACCTCCCCTTTTCTCCTTAATGTCAACATCCCCTCACTCAAGTCCTGAAGGATGAAGCTTTATTTAGAACCCACCCTAACTTTATCCCTAGGGGGGCATCAAACTTCATATTAACTAACAAATAGCATTTACCCACTAACCCTGCACTTCTCACCCATCACTACTCCATGACCAAGCCTCAAGTAATTCTGTGACCAGGCATAGGTCCTACAAAAATCCTATAATCATTCACATTTAAGGAGTTAGGTGACCTATATCCCTTCCTCTGAACTCTCCCAGCATATCCTCCAGGGGCTGTAGAAATTTCCAGGGGCAGTGCATACTGGGAACCCGTTTGTGGTACCTGGGGTTTCCCCAAAAGCACATCCTCACCTTTCCATCTATGATTCACTTCCAGCATTTCATTCATGTACCTTAAGTGGTCTTTGACCACCACGGTCCCAAAACAACCACCGTATTTGCCCAGTTCTCTTTCTGATCCCTGAAAGAGTCTGGAGAGGTCACTGAGAACAGAGGCCTTGGTTGACTATTTGTGTCATTTCCAAACTGGTTGTGCCATTGGGAGATTGGAGCAGTGGTCATGAGGGAACCTCTGTAAAGGAAACTGCATGAATTTCAAATACATTACTCAATGTGACCCCCAACTACTCAGCATAATGAAAGTAAGGATACCACATGTGTTACCATTATCAGAAAGCTTTCCACTACAGTAGGCCAAAGGGCAAAGGGGCAGGAAGGGGAAAGGAGAGCTCTTGGTGAGGTATAGAACTAATGGGGCCTGTAAAAGCTACAGTGAAGAGAATCAATATTCAGGCTATAGGAAGGTAATTGAAGGATGAATGAATTGTCTAACTGCTGCTTTTCCCTATTCTGGGATTTAAATTTAAATTCACACAACCATAGTACTAGAAAGATCCATAAAACACTTAGTCCTTCCCTTCATTAAGCAGATAAGGAAACTGAGTCTCACAGTGGTTGCATTTTGCATAAGGCCCACTTTTAGTTAACAGCAGAGTGAGGACAGAAGTCTTTCTCCAGATTCCAGCATGTATGCATAATTCCAGACTTCAATATCTAGTTGTTCAGTATCATTACTGATAAGATAACCTGTGGATATTTTATAAGGAGAAATGGAATTGGGGTTTTTTCTTCCCTCTTGTTTCTCCTTCTCCAGTCTCTACATTTCCTTTTTCAGGTGCTGCTTCCATGAAGAGTCAGGCATATTTTGACAAGACTGGAAACCTGCCATGCCACTTCACAAACTCTCAGAACATAAGCCTGGAAGAGCTGGTGGTATTTTGGCAGAAGCAGCATAAGCTGGTTCTGTATGAGCTATACAAAGGCAAAGAGAAACCTGACAATGTTCACCCCAAGTATAAGGGCCGCACAAGCTTTGATCAGGACAATTGGACCCTGAGACTCCACAACCTTCAGATCAAGGACGAAGGCTTGTATCAATGTTTCGTCCATCATCAAGGGCCTAAAGGACTCATTCCCATCTACCAAATGAGTTCTGAGCTGTCAGTGGTTGGTATGTAGTCAACAGCACACTCAGATCTTGGCCTTCTCAGATGAGAATGCAATGAACAGAGAAACACCGGTGGGGGAAGGAAGGGGCCTGCAGACAGAAGGCAGAGGATAGCCATTGCTGCCAAATCCATTTGAAGGGAGTGCAGGCTTTGGGAGTAGGGAGAGGAAAGTCCTTTGCACTTTTCATAGTTTTCTTCTGCAGGGTCAGTAAGAATCTGTTTTGGGGACAAAATAGTGTTAACTGAACAACGGTAATGTGGTTAAGTGAAAACTACTGGCAATTTGGCCATAACTAAGTTTATATAACCAAACAGGTCTCAAATTTCTTTTACATTCATTTTCTCCTTTGGTCTACGATTTCTCACCCAGTAAAATCTTTGCCCAGAGTTCCTAGTGAGGGTGACAGCTGACCCTCCCTAGGGTTTGGTTTTTCCCTTCAACCTCCTGGAAGCTGCTTCTGAGTGGTTTGCTGCCTAACCATGAGCCTGGTACACAGAAGGGAAATACCAATATCCCAAAATTAGCAATACAGCTCCTCTGTTTTTCCAGGCCATGAAAAATGTAAATATCATTACAGATTTTTAAAAATATATAATACAATAAAATTAATTATTTTAATTTTGGTACACAGTTCTGTTAATTTTAACTTATGAATAGATTTACATAATCACTACTATAAACAGGGTATAAAACATTCCCATCTCCCTAAAATAATTTTTTCATGCTATCCCTTTATAATCATACCTTCTCCATATGCATAACCTATTTTGCATCCAACGGTCTCGTTTTTGGAGAACATGACAGAAATGAAGCCATCCAGCATGTAACCTTTTAAGATCAGCTTCTTTCATTCAATGAAATGCCTTTGAGATTCATCCAAGTTGTTGCATATGTCAAAAGTCTGTTCCTTGTTTATTGCTGAGTTTATTGCATTCTATTGTTTATCCATTCAACCCATGGAAAGATAATGGGTTGTTTTCAGTTAGTGCTGTGATGAATAAGAGCTGTCATAAACATTCATGTACAAATGTTTGTATGACCATAAATTTTCATTTCTCTAGGGAAGATACCCAGGTGTGGGACTGCTAGATCCACATTAATTTTTAATGAAACCGAAAAAGGCAGATCAACAGCAATTCTGAAACCACAGAGTAAAGGAGAGGCAAAAGTAGAAATAGAATGGAGAGTTGCTCCCTATAAGTCTTGTGTGATTCAAACAAGGCTACAGGGCTTTGGGAACATTTAATCCAGTGCTAAATCAATGTTTTCAAGAATGGCCAGGTATCATTGAGAAACATGATATGTTTTAGGTGGGACACAATCATTTTTTAGAATTTTAACAGTTTCTTATTTATTTTAATGTGTATTGGAAAAACAATAACTATCCAATGTGTGATTTCACAGATATTGCTAGTGAGGCTAAAGTAGGTGGCACCGTGGCAATCCACCTTCCACATAAAGCGCATGCAGAGTGCTTAAGTAGTATGTTGATACAGCAAAATTTGTTAAGTTAGCATGCAAATCACTGAAGTTTTAGAAAACAATACATGAAATTATAAATTAGTATGCAGAGCCTGAAAAACTCCCTAGTTACTGTAGAAGAAGAGCAGAAGGGGCTAGGTGCCAGGGATCCTCAACAGCCATAAAAATTTGAATGGCAAACCAAAGCAAGAGAAGCTCTGTATTTATCAAAGTGATGTATTTTCCCTAACAATGGCTGGGTTTGGCCTTCATTGTATAGTATAAAATGAAGACATCTTGACGGTCATGCCCAAAAGCAGTATTCTGAATTTCTAAATCCAAAATCCCCATCCACTCACCACCAGCATGCTTGAGTTTCTGGAAAATATGGCCCACAGCATGCTAACATCATGAACTCCGTTAGCTCCTGGTGTGACTTTAGCCTCAAATCCTTTCTGCTCTCTTAATCTGGCAAGCTGGAATGTACCCCATGGGACACTTGGGTCCTAAAGTCAGACAACTTCTTCCCTAGACTCTACTCCCTAGAACAATGGCGTCTTTGTGAATCTTTGGTGACTCAGTTTCAGTCCTCCTGTTCCTCAGAGGACACCCCCTTGATTTGGGCAAGCAGGAATTAAGCATGGCCCACAGTTGTCTTCTTGAAAAATAAACGTAGGGCCCTCACCATGGGCAGAGGCCCACACTTTAGGTACCCTGTGCTCCCAGGTATGCCCTCAGTGAGTTCCCAGGTCAGGTATCTAATTGTTTGCTGTTCTTTTCTAGATAACAGCTAAATTTAGACTGATTTCTTTTTTGTGTGTCTCTCTTCTCTTTTCAGCTAACTTCAGTCAACCTGAAATAATGTTAATTTCTAATAGAACAGAAAATTCTGACACCATCATAAATCTGACCTGCTCGTCTATGGAAGGCTACCCAGAACCTAAGGAGATGTATTTTATCCTAGAAAAGGAAAATTCAACTACTAAGTATGATGCTGTCATGAAGAAATCTCAAAATAATATCACAGAACTGTACAGCATTTCTATCAGCTTCTCTTTTACAATACCTTCTGAAACAAACAATGTGAGCATCTACTGTGTCCTGCAGCTGGAGGCAATGGAGACGCAGCTTCTCTCCTCACCTTACAATATAGGTAAAATTGCTTCCCAGGCCTATTTCTTTCATTAGGTATTATATACAAATGGTTAAGTCAGCTCATCCAATGTCTCCTGCTTGTCAGCAAAGCTCCAACTGGGCCATTTTATGGTACTATTAAGAAGGACACAGGCAGAGAGCTCCTACTTCATCTGAGTGCTGTAAGGCCCTGGAGGCCATGCACACATGCTGCCCTTCAGGAAATATGTTCTTAGCTCTGAAAATAACAGATTTTGGCCTACCTGTGGATAGAAGATTCTGAAGTTTAAGTCAGAAAGTACAGGATTCCTCCAGATTAGAATTCTTCCTTTCATTAAAGCGCACACACACACACATACACATTTCATGCATACACACAACACTTGTTATGAGTTGGAATGATACAGAGGCAGTGTAGACATAGGGGCAGGGGTGTAAACTAAAAGGTATGACATTATTCTCTGCCCTTGAGGCCCTTCCAATACAATCAGATCTCCATGACGTACACACATAACAAGATTGAATCAGAATCTCAGTTATATCCCATGGAAATACGTGACTAAATTTAAAAAGAAGACTGACTGAAAATCAGTTTTGTAGGCATTCAGATGTAGGCAAATTCCCTGAGGGTCAGGGAAGTCTCCCTAAAGAAAGTGGGACCTTATAACACCTACAAGAAATGAGTGGACTTAGTAAGTGTTGTGAAGAGATGACAGGTGCTCAGACTTGCGGTGGCCTCCTGCACAGGAAGAAAAATTCTGAGACAGCATCCAGGCTTAGAAGGTGAGAGGACCACAGCTGATTAGAGGGGTCTGATGTGATTAGAGGTGGAGGTGGGGGACATCAGGGCTTATGTGTCATGGAGACTCAGGAGCAGAAATTCTTGTGGTGCGTGGGTCATGTAGTATAGGGAAGAGCTGGAGGGAAGCGTTAAAACTGAAGAGTTTCAACAGGAGCTATTGGGAACTTGCCATTTTAAAGTCACAGATGTGCCCTGGAGGAAATGTACCCATGTTTGAGATCCCACTTTTAAGCAGCAGTAATTTTAAGATTCTCTCCTGGAAGAAAGGCCACACGGCTCCTGTCACGGCTTCCACTGGGCCTGACCCCTCCCTGTGACCCGTCTGCCTTCTGCTTGCTTGTCTCTTAGCCAGCACGAGCCCCTTGGTTTGCCCCACCCACCCCCAAATGAAGTCATCCATTGACTACGCCACCCTCTGACTTTGCTGCCACCTTTCTCCTGGTGTCTCGTTGTTCACACATAACTTGGCCTAGGACACATTCTTACGGACAGGCCCTGGGGTTGCTCTCACTGGCCAGCTTTACCAACAGGCCAATCCTCCGTCCTGGTACTGATTTCCTTCTGCTCAGACACCTCTACTCCGGAGAGTCCAGTGAGTGGTGAGGGCACCCAGCCTTGTCCTAGTTGCTTCCACTGCAGCCTGTCTTGGCCTCACAGAAGTCTCTCTCCCAAGCTATCCCTGAAATTCAGTACCTTGTTGGAGCCACCAGCATCCCCACACATGACATGCCCTGGGGCCTCCACCATGACTCCCAGGGCCTGAAAACAAGGAGAGCCTCTTGTCTGTGTGCAGCTTCATCATGCTCACTGTTAGCTTCTCAGCTCCTGCCCAAACCTTCCCAGCTGCTGCCTCAGCTCCAGCTGCCTCAGGAAGATGGCACTCGTTCGGTGTCTCTATGTTATGACTTGATCTGAGAAGGTTAGACCCAAGGAACCTTTGTGGGTATCAAAAGGTAGCAACCTCCATGTTAACAAGTGTAACTCCCTTTAAAGGGAGTGCCGAACAGGCCTAAGGGACATACACGAGGACAGACTCAAAGTGCTGAATACGGCCTGCAATGCCAACAACTCCTTTTCTTAATGTCCCAGGAAAAGGGCATGTGTCCATAAATTGTAGCTAAACTAATGGGAAGTCAGCTGATCCTATTTTCCTGTAGTATGAGATTAACTACAAGAACTGTTCTCATGAATGTCTATAAAGTGGACCTCTCATTTCTAAGCTTCCTTCCAAAGCCTGTTTTTCAACTTCTGAGAAACTTAGGAGTCCCCATGGGAGGAAGTAAGTCCTGACCTCCCAGGAGTTGATCCTGACCCTGGTTCCTCAGGGCATAAAGAGACATTAAAGGTTTTCTAGTGATGTGACATGCTGAAAGCCAGGCTTGAGGAAATCTGCATGATCTGAGTAGAAGAAAACAAACAAACAAAAACTGGAGGTAGGAGGAGGCCTATAAGGAGACACTTATGTTTGTCCAGGGAGGAGGCGTCTGGAGAGTGACCAGGAGGTGATAGCTGATGGAGGAATTACCACAGGGAACTCCAGGACCTAGGCCTGACTGCACCTGGGGCTGAGGAAGCCAGGTGCTGATCAGATAACTGCATACTCGGAGCCTCGGCATGGCTACCTAACCCAGAGCCCAGAACCCAGGGCGCGCTGACCCTCTCCTTCTAGATGGCAGTCACTGTCACCCCAGCCTCCAGGAAGGGATGGCAGCTCAGTCCAGGCATTCGGCCAGAGGCCTTAGGTAGCTGCTGAGGCCCGGCAACGGGGACTTTCTATGGCCTCATACTGTGGATTTCAAGCTCCTCTGGCAGTAGAGCCCCAGGGAGCTGCCGGCATGTAGATAAAGGGAGCAGCAGTAATTATAAACCTTCTATAATCAACCTTCCTGGCTGATTGAAAACTTGTGGTCATTTCTAGATGCAAAGCCACCCAAGGAACACCACCCCGACAAAGGCCACATCCTCCCGATTGTGGCTCTACTTGTAACACTGGTTGCTGTGTGTGGGATGGTGTTCTTCCTAACACTAAAGAAAAGGAAGAAACAGCAGCCTGACTCCTCTCATGAACATGGTGAGTCAGCGCTTGTCCTCCCCTTGGACACTTGGTAGCTACTTCCCCATCAGCTGCCATCTGGAGCACAGGGGGCTGAGCCCAGCCTGGCAAAAGGTCAGCAAGGAGTTGGAGAAAAGGGTTTTCCCTCAGGGTTTGGAGCCCATATAGATGGGACTCGATGTTGCTCTAGATTTCTAGGAAAGAAAACATTTCTAATCTAAGGTTTACAAATATGCTTCTGGTTTCCAGACAAAGCTGATTATTCCTTGCTTAACCTATCCTACATCGTGAGGGTATTGTGAGATGAAGTAAAAGGGTGAAACATTTATAAGTGTTCATGATTATGGACCTGGTGGTATTTAAGCAGGGGTGCTGGGTGCAGGGTGGGGAGGGTAGAGGACCCTAAGATTTGCCTTTGCATTTCTAAAAGTCTAGGTTTTCCTGAGAAATAAGTTGGATGAATTGTTCCCTACTGGCTTTTTAAAATATTAACTTTTATTGACCACCAAGTATTAATACCCATTACCAAATACACTGAAAATAAAAATCACCTAGAATTCCACCAGTAGGAAAAAAATGATATGCAGACAACATTTTGGTGCATATGTTCCAGATTTTTCTACATGTAAATCTGTGTTATTTTCCTTAAGTGGGATAATATTATAAGGACGTTTTCTCACAATTTGGATAATATCACATGTCCTGTTTCCTAACTTTTTTGTATTAAATTAGCAAGAAAATTTTCAGTGTCACTAAGTATCATTCCATAGCATCATTTTAAGTATCTGCAAGATATTCCATTATGTGGACCTTAATTTGTCTAACCAACTCCGTATTGGTGGGCACTTGGGTTGTTACCATAGTTTTGCTATTGTAAATAGCACTGCACTGTGCAGCCTCCTCATTGACTTCAGTTGTAAAAGTGGCTCTGTGCTTCAGGGGTGCAAAGCAGTCCCAACATATAGTGATCTCATGCCTATTTGTGATTTGGGCTGATTTGGTCAAAGTTATCAGATAAGGTTGGACTTTATTCTCAGTAACCACCTCCAGTACAAGTCTGGCTGGTACTAATAATCAAGGTGACTTTCTTGCTCACTCATGGTAAAAGCCTAAGATGAGTATTGCTCCTGGTCAGCATCTTATTTGAGATTTCAGTGTACCAATCTATTTTCTAGACAGAGGACATGAGCAGTCACTCATTTCATCCTGCTGTGTTTTAAAAACAGGAAATTGGGGACTGGTTATCCAATTCCAATAAATTAATACAAAGAATATGGTAGAGCCAGGCAAATTGCCAAAGTATGGGGTGTGCTGAGAGACTTCAATGATATAAACGTGTAAAATTCAGAGTCCAGGGTCAGATGTATGGATATGTCATGCTTGTCCAAGCTTTGACTTTTCAAGGTGAGAGTTTTGAGCTTCTCTTTCTTTTAATCTCATTGTCATTTAGAATTAGCTGAATGTGTAAAAGCAACCTTCTTGGGAAGAAACTATTTCCTAAAGCTGATTTCACATTGGAATGATTAGCTTATAAATGAAACAAAGCATGGCTGGAGAAAGAGAATAAGAATATTTCTTCCCCCAAGAGACAATCAGGAAAATTCAGGAGACTAGATAAAGGAATTAAAGTTAAGGTTTGTGAGAGAAGTTGGAAGGGATTTAAGAAGCTGTGCATATCTATACAAGGTTGTCAAAGTGAGCTTTTGAGTGGTTAAAAGCAGAAGACAACACAAGAACACACACATATATAAGCCCCCAAGAATGTGATAAAGAATAATGGTAGGAAAAGGTTGTATGATCAGGCAGCCACCTATATGGATGAGTTTGGTCAAAGAGAGGAGCCTTGATACCACTGGAAGGAGGGAGATATAAAAAGTAACTATGCCATGTAGATATGAAATGTTTGTAAATCTGGATTCTGTAACTTCAGCAACATCTGCATTGCTTTGTGGATACCTCTGGCATTGTCTGTATGATAGTTTAAATAATGCCCCCAACAAGATGTCTAGCTCCTATGCCCCGGAACCTACATTATCTTACATAGCAAATGGGACTTAGCATATGTGATTAAGGCACTGACCTTAAATTGATGAGATTACCAATCTGATCACAGAGTCAGAGAACCTTTCCAAATTGAGACAAAGATGAAATGGAAGAAGGCGGGGATATCCAAAGCTTGAAACATGCTCAGCCCACCACTTCTGGCTTTAAGATGGAGGAAAGGACCATGAGCCAAGGAGTGTGGGTGACCTCTAAAATCTGGGAATGCACCTCAGCTGAGCACATCAAGGAAATGGGAATCACAGTCCTACAGCCACAAGGAACTAAATGCTGTCAACACACAGACATGGAAGCAGTCATGATCCATCCACAGAGACACAAGCTTACTGATAACCAGTAGGAATTTCTCCAAAACTGGAGCTTCTTCCTAATCTAATGTTAATCCTTTTCTTGGAGGAGATGGCCCTCAAACTACCTACCTTGGTGTCAAGAGTCCTTTACAGTGTTTTTCCAGTAATTATAGTTTTTCAATGCCACAACCATACATATTTACCCTGTTCGGGCTGTTAAATGAATAAAAGGGAAATGCCATGCTTATTCTAGCTGGTTTCTAATCTCTCTTCTCTTTTTTGATTTGTCAAATAGGGCAGATAAGGCATGAGAAATTGTAACACTGAGTTACTGTCTTTTCCCAATCAGAAGTTACCCTATCAGTTTACCCACTGGGGAGAAAGACTAAAATAGCTCCTCCTGAAGTTTTACTTCTTCATTTGTATCTTGTGTGACTGAAACCTGTAATAATCGTGCCCTCCCAACCAACAGTTTTTACAACTTGCCTCCTTCTACCAAACCTGGAAGAATCTCAGCTCTTTTAGGAATGATTTAGTAAAGGGCAAGTATCTTTTCCAAAATAAATCATTTTTAACCACCATTTAAACAGAAACTTTCACAGGGCTTAAGAACTGAAAGTTGGTGATATCATCATGTTTGTCCTTCAAAATTCTGAATTTGTTATCAAATCCAAGAGTTCAGAATTTGCATTCTTACTGTCTACTTTCATTTTAAAATAGAAGCTTTAAAAAAATTTTTCTTTGAAATGGTGATGAATTATCATGGGTATGAAAGGATGACATGGTAGCCCTGTGTTGTCTACAGACATCTGAAATACTGTATTCAGCTGTAAGCACCATTATTTTTTAAGAGAAACTTTGACAGATTTATGAAGTGCCTGGAAGATAAGTCAAATAAGAAATACAATAGCTCAAGTGACTGAGGATGCTTTGCTAGAAAAAAAGCCTTGGAGAGAATATATATGCTCTTTCAAACGTCTGAAGAACTGCCATAGAGTACACAAATTGTACTCCAAAAGGCATCTCAATTGATAAAGGTTATAAGAAGGTATGAGAAACCAAGCATGAGTTTTCTAGTAACAAAAGGTCTTTTACAATTGTATAGAAACCATAGACTTCTCCTTCCTCCCATGAAGGATTAACTGCTACAGGAATGGCCCTCCTGCCATAAACAACTAAAAATCAGACAAAATAGATGAAACTGTTTTCAGACATTGGACAAAAGGCTGCAGAAAACTGCAGTCCTGAGAGAAAGGAAAAGGTGAGATGAACTTGGAGTCAGTTTCCATGCTGCTCTGAAAGCAGGGGGAGCCCTAATACCACAACTAGAAAAAGACATTACAAGAAAAGAAAACTCATATATCCCTTGTGAAGAGAAGCCAAAATCCTTAACAAAATTAGTGACTAAAATCTAGCAATATAGTAAAAGTATGATCCATCATGATCAAGTGGAGTTTATTCCAGGAATATAAGGTAAGTTCAACATCAAAAAATCGAGCAATAAAATTCACCATATTGACAGACTAAAAAGATCAGGACTAAGGCAAGGACATCATTCTCACTGTTTTTGTTTAACATTGTGCTGAAACTTCTAGTCAGGGCAACAAGTCAAGAAAAAAAAAAAGGAAGGAAGGAAGGAAGACATACATATTGGAAGGGAAGAAGTAAAACTGTCTCTTTTTTTCCACTGATAACATAATCAGGTATGTAGAAAAGTGTAAGGAATCCATAAAAAGCTATCAAAACTAATTGAGTGATTTACAGTAGCATCAAATAATACTAAAGGTTTGGGAATAAATCTCAAAAACAAGTACAGGACCTGTATATGGAAAACTAAAAAACATTACTATTGGCAGAAATTAAACTAGACTTAAATAAATGGAGAAATATGCCATGTTCATGGATCAGAAGACTAGATATAATAGCAATCAAAATGCTGGCAGGCTTTTAGGCAGAAATTAAAAAGCAGATTCTAAAAATAATGTGGAAATGCAAAGGGCCTACAATTGCCAACATAATTCTGAAAAATAAGAACAAAGAGGGTTTGTACTACCTAATTTCAAGATTTACTATATGTCTATAGTAATCAAGAGTGTGATACTGGTGAGAGAACTGACATATCAATCAATGCAATAAAATGCAGAGTCAAAAAATAAACTTGCGTGGTCAACTGCTTTTGACAACAGTGCCAAGGTAATTCTATGCAGAAAGGATAGTCTTTTCAACAAATGGTGTTGGGACAATTAGATATCCACATGGAAAATAGGAACCGAGCACACACACAAAAATAGCTTGAAATGGATCATAGACCTAAATATAAGGGCCAAAATTAAAAGACTTTTGAAAGAAAACATAGAGAAAATCCTTGTGACCTGACATTAGGCAAACCTTTAGGCACAAAAGCACAAACCATATCACAAAAAGATAAAATCAATAAAATGGACTTCATCAAAATCTAAAACATTTGCCCTTTGACTGTGTTGAAAAAATTAAAAGTCAAACCACAGACTGGGAGAAAAATGTTGGCAAGATATATCTGATAAAGGACTTATATCCAGATATATAATTATATATTACCACTCAGTGATAAGGAAACAATCTATTTAACCAAAGGCAGGAAGCAAAAGACTTGTCCAGATACTTCACAGAAGAAGACATACAAGTGTCCAGTAAGCACGGTCACACAGTGAGAAGATCATTAGTCATTACGGAAATATGAATTAAAGGTATAATGAGATACAACTACACACCCACTAACATGGCTAAAATTAAAAGGATTGATAAATATCAAGTGCTGGAGAGGATATGAAACAAGTGAAATTCTCATGCATTACTACACAACCCAGCAATCCTGGATATTTTCCCATGAAAAATAAAAATATATGTCTGCATGAAGACACACACACAAATGTCCATAGCAACTTTCCTCATAAAACTGAAAACCTGGCATCCTGAATTTTCACCAATTGGTAAACGGATAAATGAATAGTGGTATATTCACACAATGAAATACTGCTGAGCTGTAGAAAGAAATGGACTACTGGTAACAAGCAATAACATGGCTGAACTTCAAAAAGCCGTATCCTAAGTGAAAGATGCCAGGCACAAAAAGATTACACATTATATGACATTTTAGAAAAAACAAAACTATTATGACATTAAGCAGATCATTGGTTACTAGGGGATGGAGTAAGGGAAGGGGATTGATTGAAGAGGCAGGAGGGAACTTTTGGGGATTATATAAATGTTTTATATCTTGGTTATGGTGGTAGTTACATGATTGCACGCATTTGTTAAACTCATTAAAATCTATACAGAGAATGACTGGATTTTATTGTGAACTTAGGCAAATCTTAGGGCACAGAGAGCACAAACCACATCATAAAAAGATAAAATCAATAATATTGAGGTATTAATTATGCCTCAACAAAGCTGATTATTTTTAAACACACACACAAAAGAGAACTGCCAATGATAAGAAATATTCAAAACCAATTATTGTTGAGAGGATTCCTTTGGTCCCTAAATTCCTCCATGGACACCCAGGTTAACAACCTTTACTCTAAGGCTTTGAGTGGACAATACCACCATCACAGCAGTCAGCCTGGAAGAATTTACATCCCAAGTTGCATCAATATTAAATCCATACCAATAGCAACTCAGCTTTGGGAGGTCTAGCCATCTAGAGATTTCCCACTTAGGCCCATCCATGCAGCATTGCATAATATTTGATATCGCCAGCTGTCTAATCCCTTTAAGCATCATCATCTTCAAGAGTTCCTTTTCCTCCTCCTTCTAAACATTTTTAGAAAAGGACTGGAAACTCTTTTCCAATAACTAAATTTTTAGCAATCACTAAAACTAAATGTGTTACCCTTCCCAGTAGTATTTGTATTTTAGCAAAGAATAGAACTGTAAGTGCAAAACCTATTTCTAACATTAAAATTTAAGGCACAGTAAGCAAAGGAAGGCATTTAATTTTTGAATGCAAGAAGCTCTCAGTTTCCCCAACACTGCATCAAGTAACTGTCTATTCCACATATAAGGCCACAGCAATTTTTCTTGAGTCCTAGGATTTTGGAGTCTTTTCAGATTTTCCCTCTTTTGGTATCTGTGCACAATCCATCTTCTAAGGTTGTTTTAGTCTCTTTCAGAAACCACCAAAATGGGGGAGAAAGAGAATGAGCAGAGTGAAGAGAGGTGAGTCCTGACGCTACAACATTGCTCGAGTTACAGTCCTAGAGGGTCTATAACTTGAATAGGCTTGAGTATGAGGCGCGCTGTGATCTCAGCAAACATAAACTAATGGAGAGGGAGAGGAAACTGAGACTAGTCAGGACCTGGAGGGAAATGTCAGCTATATAAATGGATGGCAGGGCGTCCAATGTACAATGCCCAATCGCTCAGTCATGGCCAAATGAAAACTCCATATCAAAGGGCCTGATGTGGTAAGCATGCACTGCATCTTACTTACCTGGTAACCCCAGTACCTAGCACAGTACCTAGCCAGTGGGTGTCCTATACATGCAGAATGAATAAATGAAAAAGTGAGAAGTGATAACATGTTCCCTTTAGCCTCAGTGTCTGCATCTGCAGTGCTCTCTGCTTCAAATGTTCTGTCACTCACTTCATTCTTCAGACCTTGCCTCAAGTTGTGCTTTCTTAAAAGTCTTCCCAAATGAGATATCAACCTGTTATAGTATCATGTGGATCCCTGTGCTTTTTCTTCATAATATCACATTACACTTACATATTTGTGTGAGTAGCTTATTAAACTCTATAAAATGAACTAAACTAAACTCTATAGAGGACAAAGACCCTGTCAGTTAAGTTCATTATTGTGCTACCAGCACCGAGCACAGAGCATATAGTAGGTGCTCAATACATTTTTTTTTCCTGTTGTGAAATTGCAGCAGCAAACTTGTTTGAATCTGTAGGAAGTAGTCTTTTTACAATATTAACAATTTTCTGTAGTTATGGTTTTCATGGTGCTTACTGGTTGAGAGATGATAGGACTTATTCATAGAATTTACACTCCAGTGGTTTGATAAATATATATCATGTTGAAAAGGAGTTTCATAGAAAAGTAAACACTATTCATCAGGCTGTAGTTTCTCTTAAATTCGCTTTTGGCTGAGCAATATTTTAAGTTGCTTGTTTGATTTTTATTTATTTTTTATTTATTTGGCTTTTCCTAGGTCATTTACCTAATCAAATCCAAATAAGAGCAGCACTTAGGCAACCCTAAATATAGCATGAGGGAAATGTGTATATCCTCTTTATACTATCTTTTCTTCACATACTGAGGGCTACAGAGGGCAAAAATATGGTGAGGGGCTTTTTTTTTTAAGAATTCAAATTTTTGGTGTTTTAAAGATTCTGTTTATTTAAAATAAAATAAAATAAAATAAAACAGAACATTTCACCCACTTCTTCCATCTTCCACCTCCTGCCTCTGACAGCCATTAATCTGTTCTCCATATCTATGAGTTTGGTCTTTTTTATTATTATTATTTATTTTTAGATTCCACATATAAGAAAGCATGTATGGTATTTGTCTTTTTCTATTTGACTTAGTTCACTTAGCATAATGTCCACAAGATCCATCCATGCCACAAATGGCAAAATTTTGTTCTTTCTTATGGCTGAATAATATTCCATTATATGTATATATAAATACATTATATATATATATCACATATATGTATATGCACACATCTGTATTTCTTTATCCTTTCATCCATAGATGGGCAGTTAGGTTGTTTCCATACCTTGGCTACCAGAATAAATATCTGTTGAAATAATGAATATGTGCATGAAGGATACGTGAATATTCCTGGTGATCAGTCCTTCCACAATATAATGCAGTCAGATTGTCTGTACCTCCATCCTCACTTAGGAACTGGGCTTTCAACAGCATCAAGGCTCTGGTCACATAATCATGGGGTCAAAGCAACCCTAGTCACAATCCTGGTCACAGAAAGACAGTCATGACCCCAGCGTGCACAACCCCACAGGGCCCAGCACTTCCTGGACACACCAGCTTCTACGAGTCCACACGGCCCAGGTGGCAAGCCCAGGTGCTGAGAGCTTGCCTGCCTGTCTGCCCCAGCTCAGAGGTAGTCCAGCAGAGAATTAACACAGGGCACAGGCAGGTGCAGACAGTAATAAGGGGTAGTTACTGAAGGAAGCACGGACAGCATATCCCCACCTCTTTGATAGTTTGTCTATCCTTGTGGTTCCTGTAATGGTCCCTATGTTCTGTTTAGTTGTCAAAGTCTAGAAAAGGAAAGTGGCTCTGCTGTGGAATCTCACCCAGTTTTTTCTGTTTCTCCAGAATAGAATACCAGGTGTCTGTAAGATCTGCGGAAGCCCAGAGTGTTGTTAATACGTTGAAGACAGCCTCTGAAGACAAAAGTGCTACAGATTTTTAATTAAACAGTAAAGTCCATGTGACTATCCATTTTTTATATGCTTTCCTTTCCAAGTTTTCAGCTGACCTTTTTCTTGTCTCTCTAAACTTTCCCAGAAGGCAAGAAAATATTACCATTAATAACAGTGGGGGCTCCAGGATGCTCTTTAAGTAAAATAGCCTCCCTCTAATGTCAGTTCTGCTCCATATGCCAGGAACAGATTTTAACTGCTTCTTTCATTTCAGAGCACACATGTGGGCAAAGCCCATCTAACTGGTTTCTGGGTCAGGAATGATGTTTAAGACTAACACCTCCTATTTCAGATTCAGCCTCTTTTCTTAATTTCATAAACTGTGTTTTATGTAGGACCCCCCAATCCCTGGAACAGTGGCTTTTATCTACTCTGAATTCTAAAGAATGCCTAATTGCACCTAATGCCTCCTCCGTCTGGGTGGGAGCTGTGTATTTCATGTTTCTGTCATGTTAATATTTTGAAATATAAAGAAATGTATACTATAGTAATGTAATTACTATGCCCTGAGAAAAGTTCCTCTGCTAAGGAGTTCTTGTCCCTCCATGAGGGTCAGTAAAGAAAGCGGTGGCATAGTGTGCTGACAACATGAGCAAAGCAACTCAAAGTTTGGAAATTAGGATGGATAGAGATGGACCCAGCTTTGGATCCTGGAGCCGTTTCTGTCTGGGCTGTTGCTAATATTGAGGCCCATCTACCTTCCCAACAAGCTATTGTTAAGCCTTAGCAGAGAGCACTGGATAAAGCTAGAGAGCACATGCACTGTGAACCTTACTACTTCTCTTCTTGAAAAAAATGCCCGAGATTTTTGTCTGGGGCAAGTGCGCAAAGGTCAATAGTGAGTTCACAATATTCAGAGGAGAAAAACAGATGCACGCGAATGTCCGGTCTGTCCAGTCCCTCCACAAGCCCTGGGACAAGTGGGCCTTCTGTCCAAATGGACTCAAGATGGACAACAGTTTTCCTGGGGGTCAGTGATGGGTTTTAATGATATCCAAGTTGTTCTGATGTCTCATCTAGCTGGAAGCAGAGCTGGGAGAGAGGGTTATCATCATGATAATGAAATGAATGGAATAGGATTCTTTCAACTAATGGCTGAGAGAGAAAGAGCTGGGATGGAACTAGAGGACCAGGATGCAAACCACCCAGAGTGACGTGGCCTGAAAATGTCCTGAGGAGATGTGGGCTGGCCCAGAGCAGAGCCGGCAGACATGTCTGAGGATTGTCTATACATCATTCTCAATGATAGAGAAACGGCACAGGAGGGCAATATGCTAGGCCAGAAGAAATGAGTTAGGAGACCCTGCCCACTAAGGCAGCATCACTAAGGGATAGAGCACCTCAGTCCAAACCAAAAGAGAACTTCAGGAGGCCACGCCACAGAAATAGTTCTTCTTATTCTGTACAAAGGACCCCACAGGGTTATAGGCCTATAGAGCTTGCTAGTCATGCTCATCCGTGTAACTTTAGCATTTGTGAGTTCTACCCTGCCCCTTTCTTCATTAGGCTGTAAGCATCTTCTTGGTTCCTAACATGTTTTGTACAGATCAGTTCTCAATAAATTTTTATTAAATTGATTAAAAAGTCTCCATGTTCTGCTTCTGCCTCAACCCTTGTAGTCTGATGTTATGCCGTCTGTCCTCCTAGCGTATTTCCTTCCTCTATAGTAGCCCCGTTCAACAGCGACCCTAGCTGGGCACCTCTGACTTATCCAAACCCTCTCCTCTTCACTTCCCCTAACCCCTGTATGAGAAAGGGGCTTTATATGATTCCATATGTTTATCTCAGTAATGAGACACCAAAAAATCAGATAGGAGAGGTTGTTTCTTAGGACACCTGGGAAATTTGGAGTTAAGGAAGAAGTACCTGCTGTTCAGTTTGTAACCTTTTATACTAGATATTTTTTAAATTATGTGTTTGTATGTACATTAAACAAAGCTTAATGTAAAAATATTCTTTGAAAATAACTTGATTATAAAATAAATGCATGTAATGATGCTGTATATTTGAAAGTTGCTAAGAGTAGATCTTAAAATTTCTCATCACAAGAAAAAAAATTATAACTCTGTGGGATGATGGATATTAACTTATTGGGGTAATCATTTCATAACTTAAACATATATTATCATGTTTTACAGCTAAAACTAGGAAATATTATATGTCAATTACACACACACATACATGGCATGTGAGAAGAACCGGGGAAATCCTGGAAAAAAGAAAATGGTCTAGGCTCTGTGAGGGCAGGGATGTGTCTAACTTCTTTACCAATGGATCCCAGGCACCTAAGATAATATCTCAAAACTATTTGTTTAAAGATTAAATGAAACATTACTATGCCCTCTGGTGAAAAACATCCCTCCTTTGTATATTAAATTCTCTAGATCTTCTATATATCAAGTCTGGGGAAAAGAAAGCCAAGAAAGGTTGAAAGAGGTCATTGGGTATAACAATAGTACTACCTGACATTAGTGGTATTTACCTTGTGCCAGGATCTCTTCTAAACCTTTAAACTCATTATCCCATTCAATTCTCACAATGTAGGTATTGGGATATTATGCCTATTTTGTTGATGAGGAAATCTAGGCACAGAGGGGTCAAAGTGACATACCCAAGATGACTTAGTAAGTGGCAGAGCTGAGAAAAATTTCAAAAAGCTTCACCCCCTTGTTCATTCCTTTATTTCCCAGCCTCATGTTTCTGGCCATAAGAGACAGTGTTGTGGTTGGCAGCAGGTTGTGTGCTTACCCCACTTCTTGCACTACACTATCTCAGCCCTCCAATATGGTACTTCCAGAGGACCCATCACTGAGTTTTTCAGAAGCCGTTCCATCATCTCATAAGGTCCGAAGTGATGATGATGATAAGGAATGTGACATAACCAGAGAAAATGAGTTTTGATGAATTACTACAATTGCTGCCTCCAACTCTTCCCCCTCTGCTCCTACCACTTGTTCTTTTGCAATCCACCTTCCTCCTTCTGTCATTCTGAAGGCAGTTTCATCTACTCATCGTCCTCACATTTGTTAACCTGAGCTGGGAAGCAAAGAGTCATCTCTGAGTACTGCCCTCTGACCTTTCCCTCAGCACCCACTGCCCACCCCACTGTCCTGCCACATTTGGTCATCACTAGGCCAGGCAAGTATTCGCCCAGCTTTAGCATCTGCCCCTTCCTTTCCCATGCAGGCCCTTACTTCCTCATTACCACCAACTGATCCTAGTCTACTGTTTCTCTTATTCTGCATCCTGTCCAAAAAACCAAAGGAACAAGAAGGTGAACAGTGAAAACAAGGGCTTCCTGTATGGCTTCTCCCTAGCCACACAGAGGCCACTCCAATCTCCAGGTTCTTACATATCTTTCCATAGACACACTATGCCTACAAATAAATGTGCGTGTATATAGTGTGTGCATGCATAACACATATATATAGTGCATGTGTACATACTTATATATGTATACATACACACATACATATGACTGAATATGTGTATGTGTGTATATATGTGTATACACATATATACACACATATACACACATACACATATTTTTCCCCTTATACTGGCAGACTTGGTTTTATTCTATACCTAAGCAAGTTAACAGCCTAAACATAAGGCTCTTGTTAAAATGATGAGATACCAGTCTTTAGTGTAATCCTTCACATTAAAAACATATTTTTTAATTGTACTGGTTTTCAGTCTCACCCATTTGCCAGCATTATTGTAGATGTTATTATAAAAGAGTTTCCATTGGTTTTCACTATGTCTGCCTGTTCATTCCAGAGGGAAAAATATTTACAATATAGAGTCCTGTACTGTCCTGATATGCAGATTTTTGAACTTGTGCCAATATGAACAAGTTACACCCTAGGTCTGAGAAACAACAGTCACCGTGATCTGGATCTCCTGTTTCTTGCATGTCATATATTTGTCTTTCTTGATTTATTCCCTCACTTTGGTTGTACAAATCCACAAGTAGCTTTCTGAGAAAGGGTATGTGGGAAATAAATTAAATGAGATTTTTAGTATCTGAAAAATCTTTACACTATTCTCCTTCTTAATTGATTTGGCTTGATACAGAATTTTGGTTTAGAAATCACTTCTATTATCTCCAGCTTCCAGTGTTGCTCTCAAAAAATTTATAGATACTCTGACCCTATCTTTTTATGTGAAAGCTTTTGGATCTTCTTTTTATCTACAGTGTTCTTAAATTTTGCAATGAAATGGCTATTCATCCACTGTGATTTGAACTGAGGTGGTGGCCTTTTCTATCTAGAAACTCATGTCCTTCAGGCTAGAAAAATTTTCCTGCATTAGATCATTGACTATTTTTCATCTGTATTGTTCTAATCTCTCATTCTAGGATGATGGATTCCAATGTTGGATCTCCTAACCCAATCCTCCTTATTTTCTTCTTCCTCTCCTCTTTTCCATCTTTTTGTCTTTTGTCCTAGTTTTTAAAGATTTCCTCAATTTTATCTTCCAAACTTACTGTTTTATTTTTTGTTTCTGTTCTCATATTTTAATTTCCAAGAGCTCTTTTTTGTTCTCTGAATGTTTTTTTGTCAAGGAGTCTGTTATTAATGGTCGTAATGTTATCTCTTAACTGTCTGTAGATGTTAATGATGGATTGTTTATTTCTCCTCCCTTGTCTTTGTTCTCTGAGTTATTTCTTTCCATTTGCTTTGGCCTATACCATCCATGTTGCAGAATTCCTCAGGTGTCTGATGATCCCCGACTCCCTATTCATGATAACAAGCAAGGAACTAAACATTTGTTTGGAGAAACAGAGTCTACTGGATGGGGTTGTTAACTTTAGCTTTACAGCAAAGGAACTTATGTAGGCCTTTGTTGGTAAACCATGTTTAGGTCTTTCTCTTGACCGGTGTATTTCCAGTATTTGCCTGTAAGGTGGAAGTCTGGCTGTCAACATTCTTGGAGCCAAGTGAGGTGAAGAGGGTGGGGAGTGCATGTGTGTGTGTTTGCATGCCTGTGTTTCTGTGTATGTGTAGTAGTAGTGGGAGTCCCTGCAGTCTTTATTCAGTATGCATAAATTTACTTATTCCACATGTTTTCAATATGGTAGCTATCTAACTGTGTGAGATGTCTCCCAATTCAAATAATTTCTCTCCAGAGGACAAGACTTCAGATTTCTGCCAGGGTGGAAGAGGAAAGTCAGGTTTCCCTGCTGACAGGTGAGATTTGGCTATCCAGGCTCGCTAAGTTAGTTACCATTCATCCATCTACTTTTCAGGTTCCAAGCTGTTGTCTCTGTTGTCTCCTTTCCTATTCTTGTACTTGTTAAAAGTGTCCATTCAAATTAAAAAAAAATTTTTTTAGTTTTAGTGGAATTTCAGGAGGTAATGGAATTAGCTGTGTGAATTTAATTTACCTTCTTACCTAGAACTCTGCTATTCAAAATTTTCAAGGACTCTACCATTTGACTATCTTCAGCCTAAAATCCAAAGTCATCAACAATGTAACTCCTACCTAAATCAACTGTTTACCAACCTCATTTTTCTCCCTTCTTCTATTGTAAAACCATGATACTGCCATACTTAGCTACTAATCAGTCAAACTCCGCTATAGCAGCAGACCCAAATGACAGGAAAATGGAAAGTTAAGGGAGTTGTTTTGGAAGAGATGGACTTATAGGAGTTCTCAGCACTCAATGAGAATGAAAGGAAAGACTAACTAAAATATGATTTTGGAAATGCTAAGTGATTCAGACACAGCTAGCACACTGAAAATACTATTATAAATCACAGTCTTTGAAAAGATCCATTGCAATATCATAGACCCAGCATGGGGTTAGAGCAAAGGTTAGTTTCAAATATGAGAGACCAAAGGCACAGAGCAGGAAACAGGGGTAATTGCTTCCAGATCACTGGCTACCAAATAATTAAAACTTTTTCTTAAATTTGTATTTGCAACCCAGAGCAGATATCTCAAGCTTCTTACTAGAACATGCCAGGGTATGGTTGCCATGCTGACTGGTAACACAAACTAGTTACATGCTGTTTATACCAGTCCACCTGCCACTTTTTAATTGCACACATCAAGTATTTGCCCTCAGGCTTCAAACCTCATAACCTTTGGAAGAACAGTTGAGCTGTGTCCACTTGATGGGAAAACATCAAGTCTATTCCATTAAAAAAAGAAAAGTCAACCCAAATAATCAAATGCCTTTTCATACTTTTTTGTTCTTTTTACTGATTTACTTATTTTTCCTCTAGTTTTCAGTTGAACTCTCTTAGAACCAGTTTGAGACTCTCATTCAATTTAGAAAGAAAAAGAAAAAAAAGGAATGCTTTGTTTTTAACATTCTAAATAAATCCTGTTCCTGTGTACAAACCAGCCATGCATACTAACATGTGTGAATGTCCTTAGGGTTTAAAGATCCTCAGCTGGAAGAAAAATACTGTAGCAAGACTTAAAAAAAAAACAAGATGACACAGGTCAGTAAGAATTTTAAGAATTTTCATTCTCCCTGACTAGTTGCTTATATTCAGAACTTACTAGAAATGGCTTATTTGCAGCAGGAAGTATAGGTAAGATATGAAGAAAATCTTGCATCTGGGCATTAA